GCACATGGGTGGGTGAATTACCAGGTGGCTGGCTCACTGGTGGGGGAGAAAAACTGGCTGGGTAAGTGATAGTGGATGAATGATGGACGTCATGGTAGAATGAGTATGTGGTGGGTAGAAGATCACTTAATCAACCGCCAACTACCTAGATGGTAGATGCATCTATGTAGTTGGCGGTTGATTAAGTGATGAAGAATAAACAAATACATCGTAGACTGATAGATGGAAAACGGATGGATGTGGATGCTGAATTGATGGATTGATGGATACCAAATGAATCCATACACAGTGGACATAAACTGCAAACAGTAAGTATTCATAGTAGATGGTGGATGCTTAGTGGGTAGATAAGTCATGGAAGTATGGCTGGATGGTGGATAAATAGAAGTGGATGATTGTGATGGATCTATGCACAGAGAACGGATGGGCAGATGGAATAGAAATGCCAAGGAGTATATGACTGATGAATGGATCACAAGTGGTGGACAAGTAAATGGTGGCTCTCTGGTGCATGAATGGGGACTGGATGCCAAATAAATGAATAATTGCCAGCTGGATGAATAATGGGCTGTGTACTGTGGAGGTATTGATGGAAGTTGGCTGTGGATAGACAACAACTGGATGGAATCTCAATGGATGAATGATGAATCGGTGTTGAATGAATGGATGAAGGTTAACAGTAGATGGCTACAACTTGGAAAACTGATGCATGAAAGGTGAACAGTGGGTGTGTAGATGGAGAGATGGTAAATGGATGGTTTAATATACAGATGGAGGAAGATGGATAGATAGCAAGTGGATAGTGAATGGATGATGAATGAAGATGGATGTCGAATGGAGAGTAAATAGTGAATGTGGGTGGTGCATGAATAGAGTGGATGGATGGTGGGTGGAATGTCATGGCGGATGGATAATGGTAAATAAATGCTCACTGCTGTCTCTCTACTCTGTCTTCAGCTCCTAGAACAATGTTTGGCACACAGAAGGTGGTCAATAAATTTTTCTATGAATGGATGCTAGATGGTACTTGAATGGATTTTGGATGAATAGTGAATTATGGCTGGATGATGGGTGGATAGATAGAGGATGTTGTGAGATGGACAATGAATGAGTAGATATGTGGTGGATGTGGATAAGAGGTGGTGATGGTAGGCTGGGTGCGGTGGTTCATGCCTGCAATCCCAGCACCTTTGGATGCCAAGGCAGGTGGATCACCTGAGGTCAGGAGTTCAAGAGCAGGGTGACCAACATGGTGAAACCCCATCTCTACTAAAAATACAAAAATTAGCTAGGCGTGGTGATGGGCACCTATAATCTCAGTTACTTGGGAGGCTGAGGTAGGAAAATTGCTTGAACCTAGAGGCGGAAGTTGCAGGGAGCCGATATCGCACCATTGCACTCCAGCCTGCGTGAGTGAGTGAGACTCGGTCCCAAAACAAAAACAAAAAAGAGAAACAAACAAAAAGAGATGATGATGATAGATGGTTGGTGGATGAATGGAGGAATTCAGCTCATAGAAATATGAATGAATGAATGGCAAATGGTGAGCAACTGGTGGTTGAATTGTAGATGGGTGAATTGTAGTAGATTAGATGGAGGTTAATGGATAAATTGGAATAAATGAATAGTAAATAGTAGATTGATGATTCACAATTAGATACGTGGATGGAGATGTAAATGGTAAATAGATGTGTTAAATTTTTGATGGAAAGCTGTTTCATAGTGAGTGGTGGATGGATAGGTGGTAGATGGATGGATGCTGAATGACTGTTGGACTGACGGATATGTAGCGATGTATTGATGCTTGGTAAGTGATGGGTGCTGGTGGTGAACGGATGAGTCCATGGTGGTTGGATAGGGGATGATGCCTGGGGATGGATGGTTAATGGACATTGGATTCTGGACAGTGGTTGAATGGTGGATGGTGAATGGATGACTGGTAGTTGCATGGGGGAAGGTAGATGGTGGATTGTGGGCGGGATGGATGTTGGGCTATTGATGGTAGATGGTGGATTGTGGATGGATTGGATGTTGGGTTATTATTGATGGTGGATGGTGGTGGTGGATTGTGGGTGGATTGTGGATGGATTGGATGTTGGGTTATTGATGGTGGATGGTGGATTGTGGACAGGATGGATGTTGGGCTATTGACGGTGGAAGGTGGATTGTGGACAGGATGGATGTTGGGTTATTATTGACAGTGGAAGGTGGATTGTGGACAGGATGGATGTTGGGCTATTGACAGTGGAAGGTGGATTGTGGATGAATTGGATGTTGGGTTATTATTGATGGTGGATGGTGGATGGTGGATTGTGGACAGGATGGATGTTGGGCTTTTGACGGTGGAAGGTGGATTGTGGATGAATTGGATGTTGGGTTATTATTGACGGTGGAAGGTGGATTGTGGACGGGATGGATGTTGGGCTATTGACAGTGGAGGGTGGATTGTGGATGGATTGGATGTTGGGTTATTATCAATGGTAGATAGTGAATTGTGGATGAGATTGATATTGGGTTATTGATGGCAGATGGTGGATTGTGGGCGGGATGGATGTTGGGTTATTGATGGTGGATGATGGATGCCGATGGTGGGTCTCAGATGGTGGTGGGATGGCAAAGATAGATGAACAGCTGTGAATGGTGGCTGGACAGTGGCTGGCCTGTGGTTATGCAACAGAAGTGGGATGACAGATTAGTGATGGTGGAGGGTTCCTGGTTGCAGGCTGGGAATTACACCGACCATAGATTGTACACCTTGGTCTCAGGTGTCAGGTCTGCCACTGGACTGAGTGAGACAGCTTGTCCCAGGGCTCTTTTGCACCTTTTTGGGAATGGAACTGGAAGTGAAGATGAGAGGAGGGTTACGGGGTGACCCCCCCTTTCCTGTGACCCATCTGAGTGGGGGGGCTTTTTTGTCCATTTTATTCCTCTCTTCTAGTCCCCAGTAGGAAGGAGTCCTCTTTCTATGTGTCTGGCCCCAGTAAATTCTGCACCCCAGATTCCTGGACGCAAATCTTGAGGCTCAGTGTCAAGTGGCCAGGGGCAGGTCCTGGGGGAGGGGTCCGCTCAAGGGAAGACGAGGCCGGGACTCTACCTGGGGGCTGGCGCTGGGAGGGCGGAGCAAGGGCGGAGCAAGGGCGGCGGCGGCCCCACGGAGGGCGTGAGTGCGAGGGAGGCTGAGAGAGTGTGGGCGGGGAGCGCGGGGAACTCGCGGAGCCAGCGGAGCGCGGAGGTCCCGGCGCCAGCAGCCGTGCGGGAGGTGAGTGTGAGTTAGTGTGGGGCAGGGTCACCCCCTCCCCAGCCTCGCCCCAGCCGTGCGGGCCCCCAGCGCGAGCGCGCCCTGACGACCAGGAGCGGGGTGGGTGGGAGGGGGAGGAGCATGGGGGGATTTGGGGAGTTTTGAGTCGAGCTCCCTGGGGAAGGGGAGGGCGTGGGTTGGCGCGGTCAGCCTGGCAGTGGGACGTCATGCTTCCACGGGCTTGTGCCCCTGGGGCTGTACCCGGCAAGATCTGGGATCCTGGGCGCTGGGGGTGGTGGGCGCCCTCGATGTGCGGTGCCCCGGCTGGCGGTGGACCCTGGCGCTGGGCAGGGCAAAGCAGCCCTTGGCCACTTGCTCCCTGACTGCCTGCCCCGCCCCCATGGCTCAGGGTGACAGCTCTATCATCTGCCTCTGTCTCCCTCTCTCCGGGCCAGGTGTCATCTGTGGGTCTGTTTCTATCTCTGTCTTCTGCTCTGCCTCCAGCTCAGTCGCCTCTTGCCTGGTCTCTGTGGCAGTGTTTTTCCTGCCTCTCCCTCTGCCTCCTTCCCAAGACTGGCTGGGTCTCTGTCCTGTGCCCTGGACTCTAACTTGGGTTCTGGGTCTTGGGATGGAATCCAGGAGAGGCTCGACGGAGGGCCAGACCTGGGAGCAGCGGGGCACTGAGGCAGCCAGGGACTCTGGGGTTGGGTGGAAAAGCCAGAGGGTGTAGGTTTGCTGCCCGCTGCCCCGAGAGGCCTCCTGCATGTGTGCCCCTCCTAGCCTTCCCTGGGCTTCAGTAGGACCCCAGCTGACCCGAGCAGGGTGTTTGGTGAAAGAAACCTCATTTCCCAGAATAGCAGCCCTCTGCTTTGCCGACAGCCACAGGACCACCCTCTCCCACCCCCGCAGGGTGTAACAGGCATTCCATTTTGCTGGTCTCTGCTTTCCCACTGCCCAGTCCCCTTCCTGCAGGGCTGTCCCCTGCCCGGGGCCCCTGCTGCCTGCATGCCAGCCACCACCAGACCCCACTCCCATTTCTGCCTCTGACCTGGTTGTGGCCCCAAGGGAGCCCACACAGTCTGAGTGCAGGTGAAGAGTCTGCGGCTGGTGCCGACTCCTGGCAGCGGCTCTCTTTCGAGTCCTTGCTGCCAGAGCTCCAGTGGGCTCCCTCTGCTGTGGCCAGCCTGCGTGGGCACGGCCAAGTGCAGGCAGGATGTCAGTTTCCCTTGGGCTGTGGGTGCTGAGGGCCTGGCCCGGGGTGTGCAGGGTGCATGCTCTCGAGGAGGAAATGGGCACCTTGGTCTCTGGCTGACTTGAACCCAGTCCCTACCACTCCCAGCCTCCTGTCTCAGAAACCTGTTTGGATCCCTTGGACACTCCGTGTCCTTCCTGCACTGTTCTCTGTCTCAGAATGTGCTTCTGTCCTCCCAGCCGGCCTGGCTACCTCCTGCTCATCCCTCAGGCATCAGATCAGCCGAATTCTTCCAGGAAGCCTTCCCAGATCTCCCCTCCTGCCCGTGCCCTCTTGCAGACACATTGTGTGGCCACGGTCCAGCGCCCCCTCTGGCAGCAGGCTCCAGCAGGGAGCAGCCCATAGAGGTCCAGCTGGAGCCATGGGCACTGGGTCTGGGTGGGGTGGAGTGGGGTGGGCTCAGCGCCTGAAGCCTTCTGGGGAGGGTGGATCCAGCATCAGGCCAGCAGCAGACACCCCGTTTCTGCTCCCAGTCCTCGTGCAGCTCAGTGGTGCAGTGGCAGCAGCAGCATGAGCATTCCCCAGCCTGCTCCACCACAGCCAGGCCCTGCCGAGGGGGCTGGAGGCCCGGCAGGGAAGGTTTGTCCTTGGGGCCCTGGGGCTCTGGAGGGAGCCAGCCTCAAACCCTGTCCCATGACTTGGGGCATGCCTTGCCTTGCTGCTGGCCTCAGTTTACACATCTGGTTGGGGGAGGTTGTTGCTTATTTATTTTTGACGCAGAGTCTTGCTCTGTCACCCAGGCTGGAGTGTAGTGGCATGATCTCGGCTCACTGCAACCTCCACCTACCGGGCTCAGGCGATTCTCCTGCCTCAGCCTCCTGAGTAGTTGGGATTACAGGCGCCCACCACCATGCCTGGCTAATTTTTGTATTTTTAGTAGAGACGGAGTTTTGCCATGTTGGCCAGGCTTGTCTCGACCTCCTGACCTCAGGTGATCCACCCACCTTGGCCTCCCAAAGTGCTGGGATTACAGGCGTGAGCCACTGCCCCTGGCTCATTGCTCTTTTATAAAAGTATAATGGATAAAACAATTGAAGGCCAGCATTCCTGGCTTACTTAGCACCCTTGCTGACCTGAGGACCCCAGGGATTGCTCTCTGCCGAGTGAGCAAATGCCAGGGTCCCCTGCCCCTAATGCCACCTTTCCCTGGGGGTGTTGATGAAGCTAAAATAACAAGGTCCCTACACAGGGTGGCAGCCTCGGTGCTCTGAGTTCTACAGCCCAGCCATTCTCCTTGTTGGGGAGCAGTGGGGACAGAGAGGGGGACCAGCTTGGAGTCACACAGGGACCAGTCTGGAACTTGGGGTTGCAGGCACAGCCTCCCAGGCAGGCGGACAGTGGTGAGCACCAGGCCTCGGAGCGGCAAGTTCTGCTGGCCTGGGCCTCGCTCACCCCAGTGGGCAGACTTGGAGACCAGTGCACTTGGTGGGGCAGGAAGGAGAATGGCACATGGGGAGTGAGACCGGCTGGGGAATGAGCCCCTGGGCTGGCAATGCCAGCATGAGGGGTGGCCCCTGGGAGGGTCCAGCCTGTGGGGTAGGGATGGGGGTCCTCTGACAGCTCCTTCATTCCGCAGATGTCCCAGTGACATCTGTTCTCACACGTGAGGGTCACCTGTGGTCCTTGGTTCTAAGACACTCTGGGCTGGAGCCCAGGACCGTGCACTATTCATACCATTCAGCCAGGTCCTGCCCGCGGCCTGGCTGCCCTTCCTCGTGACCCTCATGCTCTTTCGGGAAGGTGGACCCAGCAGCTTTCCTTCTAGGTGCAGAGATGGGAGACAGGGAGCTCCAGGCAGGGCCATCTGCCTGAGTGCAGGCGTGGAGGTAGGACAGCGAGGCAAGTCGGGACCTCTGGGTACTGAGGGACGGAGTTCTGCATGTAGCACTGCAGCCTCGAAGGCCCTGACTGGGGGGCGGAGATGCTGCGGGCACCGGGAGGGCCTGGGGACACAGCCCCCACACACTCCTGTGGGCACTCAACAATGAGCCAAGAGCAAGCCCAGAGCCAGCCGCTCGGGTTGCCATGGCAACTGCTTCCCAGCTCCTGTAAGCCTGGAGGAGGCCACGGCCCAGCAGGGAAGACCCCAGGAAGGGGCTGGGAGGAGTCCAGGTGCAGGAGGCAGCTGGGGGTGTGCAGAAGCCTGCGCTGGTTCCTGGTGACCTTGGTGTCTCCGGCCTCAGGCTCTGGCTATGCAATGGGCTCCGGGGCTGAGCACAGCTGCGTCCTCTGGTGCCTTCTGAGAGCTGTGACCGCAGGGGCTGAGCACCCTACCCCCAGGTTGGGACTGGGTCGGGGCTGGGAGCCGTCTCAGGGATGTGCCTGTGCAAACACACATGTGCCTACCCCTGCCCTGGAGACTGGGTGGGAAGGGTCCCTGACCCCCCTAGTGGGGCAGTGTGCAGGACGGGGGTGGGAGACAGCAGGAGTGCCAGGCCTGGCATGGCCGTGATCCTGCTCACCCTCCCTGTAGGCTGTGGCAAGTGCCCAGGAGAAGGGCCCTCGGCTGGGCCAGCGTCTGCCCTCAATTGTGGTGGAGCCCAGCGAGGTGGACCCTGTGGAGAGCAGCGAGCGGCGCTGGCCCCCGGAGCATGCCCAGAGGGGCCCCTCTCAGAGCGGGGCTGCTGCTGGTGAGTGAGGGCGCCTGAGGGGGTGCTGAGAAGAGGAGGGGGCCACTGCCAAGGTCAGAAGTGGGGCGTGGTTCCTGCGGCTCCGGCAGGCAAGGCCTTCCCGCCTCCTGCCTGTTCACATCCCGTCCTCCACCGGCCCTTGGAACCTCTGCCTGGGGCCCTAGGTGCTGCCTGGCCTTGACCCCCTCCCTAGCACCGTCCCCCCTCCCACCTGCAAGTGAGGTCCCTCATCCACTCTCAGCCCCAGGCCTGGGCATGGGAGGTGCACAGCGCGTACTTGCTGAATGAGTGATGACACATTCTCACCCCTCATCACCCAGTCCTCTCCCATTGTCATCACCTTTGAAGCAAGTGTGCCTTGCTCACTAGGGCCTGGGAGGCTGTGAGGTGCAGGTGCACATCCTGGGGGGATGGGCTGGCCTGTTATTGGCAGGCTCCGTCTGGCTGCAGGTGCCTTGTTTAAAGGCTGAAGCAGGCTGGGTGCGGTGGCTCATGCCTGTAATCCCAGAACTTTGGGAGGCCGAGGCGGGCAGATCATTTGAGGTCAGGAGTTCAAGACCAGCCTTGCCAACATGGTGAAACCCCATCTCTACTAAAACAAAAATTAGCCAGGCGTGGTGGCAGGCACCTGTAATCCCAGTTACTCGGGAGGCTGAGGCAGGAGAATCACATGAACCCTGGAGGTGGAGGTTGCAGCGAGCTGAGATTGCAACACCGCCTGGGTGATAGAGCGAAACTCAGTCTCAAAATAAATAAATAAATAAAGGCTAAAGCTTCTGAGAGGAAGACCATGTGGGCAGGAGGGTGCAGCCAGGCCCAGGTCCAAGGCACAGGAGAGGCAGCAGGCTGGGCTGTGGGGGCCTTGTGGACGGCTCTGAGGGCCACTTCGGGCTGGGCGAGGGTCGTGAGCTGTGCCCTGGGAGGTCTTATCCCCTGGAGACCCCTGGGAGTCTGTTCCCTGAGGAGGAAGTGAATTCAGCCTTCGCTGGAGCTGCTTAGCACCCTGCCTGCCCTCTCCCCATCCCCAGACCACAGCCCGTACTGCCAGGAAACCACCTTCAGAAGGGGTCCATCTGGACCCATAACCCCCACCTCTGCCCAAAGCCCCCCTCAACCTCTTGTCAGTTTCTGCCCAGGTTCCAGGACAGCATTAGAGACCATCCCTTGGGTCAGTCCTGGGACTTGGGCTCTGGGGATGCCCTTGAGTCTGCTCCAGGCCTTCCTTCCCTCTGCCACCCCCTCCTCTGGTGGATTTGGGAGCTGCTCCTGCTGGCAGAGCCCAGCCCCATTCTGCCTCCTCCCCTTCTCATCACCCAAGGGGACCTCCTGGCCTGCCCCAGCCCAGCTGCCTGCCAAAGGTTCATCTCGGACTGCTGGGATCCTCTCGGGCTGCAGTCCCCTGACCAACACGGCCTCCTTTATGTTTCTGCAGCCCACCCCCCGAGTCCCCTCGGAGAACCAGGAGACCTGCAGATGATGCTAGCAGCGAGTGTGTCTGCTCCGAGGACCAGGCAGCCCCAGCCCGGGGATAGGACAAGGACGTGGCCAGGGTCTGCCGTCTGACCGCTGAGGGCCTCTGCCGCAGGGTGGCTGGGATGGTGCACAGGAGGGTCGGGCCTGCCCCGACATCCCGCAGGCAGAGCCCAGAGGCTGCTTCCTGTCTCACCGGGTCCGCCAGGACTGCAGCCCTGCCCTCTTCTGCCTGTGGTCCAGATCTGGATCACACCCCGCTTTGTTCCGTGGTTTGACGCAGAAATAAAGGCACTTCCTGATGGCCAGCGGGCACGTGGTGGGGATGCAGGGGCCTGAGAACAGTTTGGGTTCTGCCTGTGGCCTTCTAGGTGAGGGCCTCAGCTCCCAGCCCAGGCTGGCCAGTTCAGAGCACCTAGTGCGTGACCACTCAGGTGTGGCACTGGAGCAGGCTGGGCAGGGCTGAGCTGGTGCTGTGGCTGGTGCCTCTGCCCAGGGACCCTCTCTCTGCTTTGGCCAAGGCTGCCCAAGGCAGAAGCAGCCTCCTCCAGGTGGCCTCCCAACCCTCCATGGGGCTGCCTTGGGGCCAGGGTGGGACCCTGAAGGCTCTGCTACCTGCTTCCCCTGGGTGCAGGAGGGCACAGCGATGGTGCCTGGCATGGGCTGCCCCATTCCAGGTTGGATCTCGTTAAATCCTTGTGAAGGTCCCATTTTACATGTGTAGGAACTGAGGTGCAAAGCAAGGTGCCCGAGGTGAGAGGCTGCCAGAGGAATCCTTGAGGTTAGGAAGCCAGCAGGCTGCCACAGAGCCCATGTGGGAGGCTGGGTAAGCAGGCATCTCTTCCTGTACTATGTGGGGGTCCATCGACATTATCTCTGGACTCTGTTCTACTGCAGAAGGGGAGCCCTGCTGCCTGGTTGCAGCTGGCATGAGGAGGCAGAGCCTTGAGCATGGCCCAGGGCCCACTCCCAGGGTGTGTCCCCCAACCTGGTCCCCTGGCCTTGGCCAGCCTGAGGCAGGGCGAGGAAGCTTAGGGCCGGGCAGTGGGACACCATAAATGTCAACTTCGCCAAGTCGAAGGTCCAGGCAGGCCTGCCAGGGACCGGGGACCCGTGACCGGTGAGCGAGGGAGGCAGGAGGCACTGCCTCTTTGTGCTTTCCTGCTGCCTCGCCAGCCTCCAGGACAAAGATGCACTTTCTCCCACCGCCTTCCTTCTAAAAACAGCCGTGCCCCGCAATGCCGGAGAGGTGGGAGACAGGTGTGGAAGCTCGCCTGGCAGCCTGCTTAGTTTGAAACCTCAGGACACCGTGGGCCCTGCCCTGGACTATAGCTCAGGCGAGGGGTGGGGCGGGCCTTCGAGGTCCTCTCCGTCCTCCTCCAGCGCTTCCCGCCGGTCCTGGAGAGGCTTGACCAGGATCGGGGACATGGGGTAGTTTTGTGAATGGGAACAGACATTTCGCAGGAAGCGTTGCGGACACGCGGGGTGTGGGGTGCAGGAGGCCGGCACGTGGGTAGGCGACGAGGCCATTTACTGAGATTTGATTCCCACCACTCCGCTCCTGGGCGCGAATTATGACACGCGTCTCAACGCGGCTGCTCCGGACCCACACCGCGGAGCGGCCGAGCTCGGGCGGAGTCCACCACGCCCGGTCCAGCAGGGCTGCCTTCGGGCGGAGGCGACCCCACTGCAGGTCCCAGGACCCTGCGTACCCTGGAGCCGGGTATGGGGAGGGGCGACCGCGGGGCGCTTCTCCACCCCGCCGCCCTCCCTCGCCAGCAGGTGCCCGGACCGCCCAGCCACGCCCAGAGCCCGTGGGCGGAGACGGCAGGGCGGGGTCAGCGAGGCTCCGCCCCCGCCCCGCCCCGCCCCGCCCCCCAGCACTCGGCGACCTGCGGACGCCCGCGGGAGTCACCCTGCGGCTCCCCGGGACGTCGGCTGGGGCCACCGCCCGGCTCCCACCTCAACCCTGCAATACGGGATTGGGGCAGAGTGGCCTGCTGTGCGCGGCCGGCAGCCTCGTCAGGGCGGGGAGGGAGCCCGGGGCTCTGGTTCTCACGCTGAGCTTCGCCCTGGGCCCGGCAGCAGTGAGGGTGGAAGCCGCCGCCTCTGGCCTGTGCATCCCCGGTGGGACAGCCTGGCCTCCCAGCGACCCCCAGGTCATGCAGGCTTCTGGTGGTGGGGGGCTTGCTCCCTGGCCTTCCCTACCTGGGAGCCAGGTCCTCAGCCAAGGCGAACCCACTTGATCCCGACAACAATCCCATATTCTGGGGGAGTAAACTGAGGTTCAGAGATCGAAGCGCCCCTCCAAGATCGTGGGGAGCTGGGCTTGACCTCTGCTCGGTGTCCCTGGCTAGGCCTCCTGCTCCTAATGGCCCCTGCCCTGCCTTCTCCTGACCCCGGATCAACCCTGTGTCCCAGGCTTCTCTGAGACAAGGCTGGGACTTTTCCAAAGGGATTTTACTGAGAAATTTGGGGAAAAACATGGACATAGAATGAAAGAAACATTGCAACCTTAGCTGAAAAGTGGGCACAGGCTCAGGTGGCCATGGGGTGCAGATGGAGGTTGAGGGGATGTCCAAGAGCAGCCCCCAGGCCCTGGCCCCACGAGATTTTCAGGCACCTATGTATTGAATGAAGTGACCAGTAATTGGAGGTCCTGGGACCCTGACATGCCCTGTGAGTTGGGGGGTGGGAGAATCAGACCGGGAAGTCTTCAGTCCACCAGGGCCTGGCTCCATGGGAAAACCCAGTGCACAGAGCCAGAGGCCTCGGGCGCAGTCCTGGCCTCTCTGGCCAGCTGTGTGGCGGTGAGCAGGTCACTGAGCCCCAGGAAGCCCTCCACCTTGGCCCGGCTGTCTCTGTTCAGTTACGCTTATTCCCTGTCACCCCTCATCTCTGCCTTTTGGAGACAGGTAGGGTGAGACTCAAGCCAGCAGGTGGGACTGGGCTGGGAGGAAGGGCCTGCGGGCTGCTAGGCATCTCTTGGGCTTGAACTGGGACTCTTAGCACCCCACTTCACAGAGGGAACCCAGGGCTCAGGGGGTAGTGACTCAAGTGGTTAATTGGCAGGCTTCCTGGAGGAGGTGCTGGCATCTTTGAGTCTAATTTGATCCCTCTGCAGATGCTGCCGCAGCATCTCAGGCATCTTCCAGTCTGTTACGGGCTGTTTTTCCCCCACAAAATTCATATGTCGGGCTGGGCACCGTGGTTTGCCCCTGTAATCCCAGCACTTTGGGAGACTGAGGCGGGTGGATCACCCAAGGTCAGGAGTTTGAGACCAGCCTGACCAACATGGTGAAGCATGTCTCTACTAAACATACAAAAACTAGCTGGGATTAGTGGTGGGCGCCTGTAATCCCAGCTACTTGGGAGGCTGAGGCAGGAGAATGGCTTGAACCTGGGAGGCAGAGGTTGCAGTGAGCTGAGATCGTGCCACTGCACTCCAGCCTGGGTGACAGA